ACACTTGAAACTCATAATGATGGCCTTTTTAGCTTGAGGTTTCAAGTTATCAGATTTGACATGATAAAATGCAAGGCACCCAAAAACCTTGAGCTGATCAAGTCATGTGCTGGTAGTCCCAACCACATCTCCATAAGGGTCTTCTCCTCTATCGCTGATGAAGATATCCTATTAATAAGGTGGCTTGCATATATAAGTACATAGCCCAAAAGATCTTCTGTAAACCACTCTGCGGTAAAAAATATCGGATCCTCTCCAGTAAAGTCCAATTTAACCTCTCTACCATCCCATTCTGCTACGGTGTATGACTAATTGTGAAGTGTCTCTCTATGTACTCATCTCGACATAGCTGTTGAAAGAGATCTGATGTATATTCACCACCGTTGTCGGATCTCAACCTTTTGATTTTTCTCTCAGTCTGCAGTTTCAATCTTCTTTTCCACTCCAAAAATATCCCTAGGACTTCATTTTTCTGTTTCAATGTATATACCCAACAACGCCTAGAATAGTCATCCACAAAAGTGACGAACCAATGTCGCCCACCAAATGATATTGTCTTGGTGGGATCCCATACACCCGTGTGCACGCAGTTCAAGATGTCATTAGTTTTATGAATGGTTGTCCCGAACTTCACTTTAGTCTTCTTGCTAAGAATACAGTGCTCACATAATTCAATTTTCCCACTCTTGACTCATTTTAATAATCCTTGCTTGCACAACACCTGCAGTGACTTTTTCCATGTGTGCCCATGTCTGAAATGTCAAAGTCTGCTAGTATCCGCCTCTAAAACTATTGAAGCTACCTGGCCAATCTCGGTACTTCTGTTCAGATAATAGATATTTCTATTGCGGACCCCTACCAATGATCCTTTAGTAACTTCAGCTACAACGTTCTCTAAAGTTACCTTGAATCCTTTTGCCTTTAAAGTTCCAATAGAAATAAGATTTTTTTTTCAGTTGAGGAACAAACCTTACTTCAGTCAACTCTCTAACAACTCCATCGTACATCCAAATTCTGACAGTACCTATCCCACAAATGTCACAGGACTAATTGTTTTCCATGATCACCACACCCCCATCGAGCTTCTCAAAAGATGCAAATCAATCTCTCTAGGGAGTCACATGATAAGTAGCTCCAGAATTCAGCATCCAATCTGATGCTTCCGCATGGTTAATCTCTGGAATAATGAAAAGAAAAAAACATGAATCATTGAAATCATTACCATTTCTTGCAATATTCACCTCACTGGACTTTGGCCCCTTCTTCTTGTTATTCTCCTTTCTCTCAGCTTCGAGCAATCTCTCTTCTAATGTCTTTGTTCTCTACAGAAAGCACACTGGTTTTTAGCAATTTGGTAGTGTCCTCTTGATTGTCCTCTAGACTTTGACCTGCCCCAATGACCACCTCTAGGATAGGGACTCATTCCTCTTGTCGACAAGGCTTCTCATGAAGTGCTAGCTCTAGCTCTGAAAGATTCTTTATCCTTCCTCCTTAAATTGAAATTTATCAATGCATTTGTAACTTCACTATAGGTGATAGAAGATCTACCATTCAACAATGTAAGCACAAAGGTGTCAAAATCCTTATCGGGTAATAAGCCTAACAGAATGATCGCATTGTACTCATCCGATATCTTATCATCAATATGTGCCAAGTCCGACAATAACTTTGTATAGTTGTTCGCATGATCTGCAAGTGTGGTACCCCTGAACATCTGGAATCTGAATAATCTCTGTAGCAAGTGCAACCGATTCTTAACAATCTTTGTAAGATGCTTGTTATTGAGAATCTCCCACATTTTCATCGCAAACGTCACTGTTCGTAGAAAAATTTGCAATAAAAAAATAAAGAAAAATTGATTTGTATTCCTTTAATCTCAGTTACAATTAGATTTCCTGATTACAAAAGAGAGGAGAGTGAGTTTGATTCTCCCCTTTGTTTAAAACTGGGTTCTTCTTGGTAGCGATGGAGTGCCTCATTCGAATGCTTGCTTTGAATTTTCTCTCCGTTGATGATTAGACCATCCTATCTCACGGGAATGATTAACTTATGTGATAAGTTTGATTGATTTAAAACTCTTAACGAGTTTAAGAAACTCAGAACGAGTTGAAAACTCTGAAATGAGTTTTTGAAACCGAATAATCGGTTAATAACCAAATAGATTTGGTTGTTGTTGAAGAATCCTTCGGGATTTTGCTTCCTAACAACCAAATAGATTTGGTTGTTGTTGAAGAATCCTTCGGGATTTTGCTTCCTAACTGCCGAGCAGTTCTTTGATCTTCAGAAATCTCACCCTCTCCAAGAATCCTTCGGGATTTTGCTTCCTAACTGCCGAGCAGTTCTTTGATCTTCAGAAATCTCACCCTCTCCGCCAAAGAATCCAACCTTATGTGGTCTTCTTGATCTTTGAATCTCCAACCCCTTACTCAGTTGAGTAATACGGTTATTTATAGGGGGATAAGGGGTGTAACTGACCCCTAGATCCACTCCTAAGTGGGCGAAAATCCCTCAAAACCTGGGATAAATGGTTTTGAGGCCGTTTAGCTTGAGTTTGAATAAGTCAAACGCCTAAATTAACGTTATAGGCCTTAACTCTGCGTCTTAGACTTGAGACGCAGAGTTGGGTGTTTGCTGAGAACTGAAAACGCAAGGGCTGCTTGCGTTTTGGGTCTTAACTCTGTGCTTCAGACTTGGGACGCAGAGTTGGGTTTTTGCGGATGAACGCACAGGCCCTTTGTATGATGAATCTTAACTCTAGGTCTTGAATTTAAGACGCAGAGTTGGATGTCTGCTGAAAAACACACAGGTCGTGTGCGTTTTGAATTCGGGAAGCGCAGAGGTGGACTCTGTGTTTGGAAGAGGTTGTTGACTTGTAACCTCTTCTATTACAGCTTTGCGAAGACTAATGCTCATTGATCTTTGCTTTAGCTGTTATAGGGTGTGAATATCGTCAGATTGTAACTCTCACAGTTGGTTGTGAAGGCTACTGAATAGAGTTTTTATCAGTTGTCGGAAGTATCGTTGAATTGTAACTCTTCTCGATCTATGTGAAAAGTCCTCCGTTTGTAGCTTTCGTTTGTTGACATGAAAGTCATCTGATTGTAACTTTTGTTGTTGAAGCTTGATGGGGATCAACTATCTATTGTGATTTTTAGACAGCCTACAGTTACTCCAATAATATCATATTTTAACTCTTGTTCTAAACAAGACCTAATCACCCTACAAGCATTTCTATTCATTTTGTTTCACACCGTCTCATCATATTTAGGCGGCCTCTCATGGCTCATTATTGTCTCTTCTAAGTTTTGAGCATTTAAATCATTATGCACATCACTCATCCATAACCCAAAATTAATTTTATCGTCATACTTCACAACACTAATCTTCATATTCTGAAGTGAAACCTGAAATATACTCGATGTAGTCTTGCTACTATCACCATTTTCTTCTGCCATTGCTTACTAACTTCAATTTGTAGAGAGGAAATTCAAAAAAGATAGAATTGAGAAATTACCTAAATTGAACCTTATATAGGACTCTAAAACAATCTCCCGACCACACAAAGAAGACGAGATCTCCAATGGCAATTCCGCAACGCTACCTCCACTGAAACCTAGATCTCCAAAATCAAGCTTCCAACACCGAATTTTCCTCCACCTAAATCTGAAATCCTGCTCTGATACCACTTATTGCGTCTAGCGGAAGCGGACTCAATCCACAATAAGTCGGTAAGCAATGCATAAAGAACACAACGAGCACAATCTGTAATATAAACATCCAAGATCAATCACAAACACAGAGAATTATGTGGTTCGGCAAGATGTTTACGTCCATGGAGAGAGGATGGGGAGATTTTACTATATGGAGGAGAAATACAATGGGTTACAATTATAACTATTAAACAATCAAACTAACTCTCACCAACAAGATCTCACTCACCTTCAAAGAATCTCCCTCTCAAAGTGCTCAATCTTCTCTCAAAACTCTTTTCTCGGATAAAAAACCTGATAAAAAAACCCTAATAAAAAACGTTCCTCTAATATATATCCTAACTCCAAAACAGAATAGCAAACATATTTCTGACCGATCGATCAACCGATATTCTTTATCGGTCAACCGACCAGAGAGATTCTTGTACCTGCTGTGCATGATTTTCGATCGACTGATCAAATTCATCAGTCGACCGACCAGAGCAGTTTTCTCTATGCAGTTTTCTTTGTACTTCACCAATCTTTCAACACTTGCCCAAATAGAATGCCTAGCATATCTATGTATTGAGCTTGTTGGTTGTCCAAAAGGTCTTAAGAATACTCTCCCCTCTGCAACCTCACATCAAACACGACAGAGGATATTCAGTACATTTTATCTGGGATATGCAGATCTACAATTGACATTCATGTGAAGCTTCTTTCCCTCTGCTCTCAATACAGTGGTTTGCATGTGCCACCTAACCTGCCCTTTTCTATATACATTTCGAGAAGGAAAAAAAATAGAAAAGTAAAGTAAAAATGACCTGCCTTTTTTGATCACTGACTCTCCACTATACTTCTCAGTCTCAATTCTTATGTATTAAATCTCCTTTATTTTGTAATTTACAAATTAATTATCATTGATTTTACCAACTAATTAAAAAAGAGAAACATACACGGTGAGATGTTCTCAACCAACCCTTTGGCCATACACGCAACAGAACGTTCCCCAATTATACGCAGCCAAAATGAGAGATTGGAAAAGATATGCTGCCCTAAATCCTGGGAATTTTCACTGTATATACTGATTCTCATCACAAAGGAAAAGTTGTTTGCAATCCCAAGTTTTATCAAAACTTTAATTTCTAGTCCATATTACAGTTGATAATAGTTGTTCCATAAAACAGTACATAACTACCTAGGACCCTAGAAGTAATAGTTATTAAGAGGAATGACTGAATATAAATTTTCTATTTAAAGTGTCAGTCTGTCATCTGGGAGGTTCTATATATAGTCATGCATTAGGAACAGACGGGGAGAGAGAGAACCTATCTCATTTCTAAAGCCTCAGAGTAGGTTGAAAACTTAATTGTGGATCAAGAGAAAATGGTGATCTTAGGAGCTTTCTTTGGTTTGCTTGTAGCGTTCTTGATCATTTGCAGTGCTCTGCTGAAATGGAATGAGCTTCGATATCGAAGGAAAGGACTCCCACCGGGGACCATGGGCTGGCCATTGTTTGGAGAAACCACAGAGTTTCTTAAACAAGGGCCAAGCTTTATGAAGAATCAGAGAGCGAGGTGAGTTTGTTGTTTATAGGAGTTCTCTTGAATGTCTAATGCAGGTAGTAACATTTTTACGATTTCTGATTGGTTTCTCTTTGAGGAGTTAATGGTTTTGATAGCTATCCCTCATCTCTATATGTCTTTTTGAAAAGTAATGCGTTTGAGAGATGAGCCTTTTCATGGCTGGAACGTTCCTTGCTTTTAACAGGAAGTAGTTTTGTCTTGTTTTAGCTCTTTGTTAGCTCCATTTCCTAGATGTATTATTCTCAAGGTAATTTATTTCCAATGTTTAAACTCTCAAGTAGTTTGCTTGTAGCATCAAACTATTACTCTTTACCTCCATTATTTTCTTTATTATTATTATTATTATTATTATTTTTGATAATACCACATATTAGAAATGAACTATGTAAATTTTTGAACCCTGTAATTACACATTTCACTAAAAGCCTTTGGATGAATTTCTTTTTGTTAGGTTTCATTTTACCTTTTCTGGCAAAAGTTGATTTTAGTTTAGTCAGTTTATTTGGTGATAAAATGTCTACGCAACTGTTTGTTTTAATATGTTTTTTTTTCAAAAAAAATCGTGACAGGTTTTTTTTTCCCATTTCTAACTAACTCTTGAATCTTTACAGGTATGGAAATTTGTTCAAGTCCCATATATTGGGGTGTCCAACTGTTGTATCCATGGATCCAGAGATCAACAAATACATTCTGATGAATGAAGGAAGAGGACTTGTCCCTGGATACCCTCAATCTATGCTGGATATGTTAGGAAGATGCAACATTGCAGCGGTGACTGGCTCCCTTCACAAGGCAATGAGAGGTTCTATACTTGGTCTCATTAGTCCCGCAATCATCAGGGAGCAACTCATTGTGAAAATTGATCAGTTCATGAGATCGCACCTTAGTGATTGGAACGATAAAGTTATCGACATCCAAGAGAGAACCAAGGAGGTTGGTGGAATATCTCAATGCATGACTCTTGAATTGACACCTTATGGCAATAATTTCAAATGTTATCACGTGTATTAATTGTACGTGATAGCTCTGACTAGTAAAGTTGCAATGATGTTAATTAATCATTTAGAGATCTGTCTTCAAAAGAAAAAACATGAGAGATGATAAGTTTTAATGATCCAGTGTATCCGAAAATAACACTAATATTTATTAGATGAAAACTAATATTTCGTAAAAAGAAAACCGATTGACATTTGTAGGTTATCATTCTTATGGATGTATCCATAATACTATTGACTCGTTTCTAAATCAAATATATCAAACTGTTAAAATGTATCCATAATACTATTGACTCGTTTCTAAATCAAATTGATCAAACTGTTAAAATACAACTATAAAATTTGTTAAATATTGACGATGTTCATGTATGAATAATTGTTTTGGTCTTGATGTTCAGATGTGGTTGTTCTCGGCATTGAAGTTGGTTGCTGGCATAGAAAGTGGTCAATTTTCCAAAGCCATGGGATCTGAGATCAATAAGCTTATTATAGGAACTCTTTCCTTGCCTATCAATTTGCCTGGTACAAGCTACCATCAGGGACTGCAGGTTAACTTCCACCTTTCAACTTCCTACATTTTGAAATAATGATGTATGTTCTGAATGATTTTCTTTTCTTTTTCTTTTTCTTTTCATAGGCAAGAAAGAAGATTGTGAGCATGCTCGAAAGAATTATTGAGGAGAGAAGAGCTTCGAAAAGAACTAGCAATGACATGCTCGATGCCCTCCTCTTCAGTAATGATGATTCAAGAGCAAATCTCGATGATGAACAGCTTATGGATCTCATAATCACTTTCATCTACTCTGGTTTTGAGACTGTATCTACCACTTCAATGATGGCCGTCAAGTATCTTCATCAACACCCGAAAGTCCTAAAAGAATTAGTGGTGAGAAATATATCCACATCACCTCTTCTTTCATCAGTATTAAGCATTTCAAGAATCAAACCTATGCATGAGATTAGGAAAGGGATCGATAGCGAAAAATGATAACAACTCAGGATATTTTGAGAATAATACAATCTCAATATGTTAAAATTTCAGGTCAGCTACAAGATATGCCCTTCGCTAGTAACATTTAACTTAATTCCTGTTTTGAGTTCTTACACAATTGATGCTTTGCACTTACAGAAGGAACATGTGGAGATCAGAAGAAGGAAACTCCCAGACGAGGCAATTGACTGGAATGATTATAAATCCATGACATTAACTCGTGCTGTAATCATTGAGACCTCGAGACTAGCCACAGTTGTTAATGGAGTGTTGAGGAGGACAACTCAAGATATGGAAATAAAAGGTCTTATATCAGAGCACAAAGAATAATATTCAACCCTTGAGAGAAATTATGGATGCTTACTAATTAATTTTTTGAGAATTTTCTTTTGCAGGATACACTATTCCAAAGGATTGGAAAATATATGTGTACATAAGAGAGATCAATTATGACGCGTTTCAGTATCCAGATCCCTTTACCTTTGATCCATGGAGATGGCTGGTGAGCAACCAAAAACACATTACTCCAAAAACACACAGAATTAAGTTTCTGTTCCTACACCTAAAACGCGGTTAAATTACTTATTGAACTTGTTACTGAATACAGGGTAAAAACCAGGAATCTCACCCGTATTTTATGGCATTCGGAGGAGGAACCAGGCTTTGCCCGGGGAAGGAGTTGGGAATTGTAGAAATAGCCGTATTTCTTCATTATTTTGTAACGAGATACAGGTATGAGACCATTATTAGTTTATCGATAGTAATCCACTACGTGTTGTGCGCCGCGGAAGCCCAATATACAAAATCAATAGCACACACAAGAACCAAAATAGATCACAATAACCACAAGCAACCCAATCACAGCAAGAACACAAGATATACGTGGTTCGGCAATGTGCCTACGTCCACGGGGCAAGGAGGGGGGAGTTTCACTAATCAAATCAAAGGGGAATACAAATTAGGGCTACAAATCTTACCCAAAACCCTCAAACAACTCACTTGATCTCTCCAAATGGCTCCGAACAAATAGAAGCCCCAATCTCCTCTTAGATCAGTTCAAAATCATCTCCCACAACCCTAAAAAACGAGTTTTGGCGATATTTATACAACTCACAAACGAACGGCGTCTGAAAAACAGAACCCAGCCCCCAACCCTCGCCTATTCGGCAGGTCGACGCGGCGGTCGACCGCCTCACTCCAGAACAGCCCTAAAACTCCAGAGGACTTTCTGCGGCGACCGTGCGTCGACCGCCGGCGGTGCGACCACGGCGAAAGCAGAAACTTCTCGGTCGACCGCGGCGGTCGACCGCCACTGATCCAGATGTATAGTGACCAATGTGCACGAATGCGGTCGACCGCCACGGTCGACCGTCACTCTGTCTGGCTGAATTCTGAGCCTGAAATTCAAATCTACAAATCTCCACCTCAGCGAACGTTTTGTCAAAACTGAGCCGACTCCAAAAACACCCCCAATCAATCTCAATTCATACAATCGGCTGTATCTGCAAGACTGCCTACGTATCCTCTTGCCCAAGGAATCAAGCCGAACGTAGTTCATCCAAATGGCCGCCAACGGCCTCAACAACGAAGAATGTTTAATAAATTCAAACAGTGACCAAACTTCACACCTGGTACAACTTTGGTCAATATATCAGCAGGGTTGTCCTTAGTGTGGACATTCTCCAACGTGACATCACCATCATCTAATACATCACGTACAAAATGAAATCTGACATCAATGTGCTTCATGCGTGCATGGTAGACTTGGTTCTTCGCCAAATAGATAGCTGACATACTATCGTAATATACCTGAATGGTCTCATGTGCAATCCCCAAATCATCCAACAAACCATGTAGCCACAAAGCCTCCTTCACTGCTTCAGTCACCGCTATATATTCCGCCTTCGTAGTAGAAAGCGCCACTGTAGACTGAAGAGTGCATCTCCAATACACCGGTGTACTAGCCAATGTAAAAAGATAACCTGTAGTGGACCGACGTTTGTCAAGATGTCCAACATAGTCTTAGTCCACGTAGCTAATACAATCCTACCCAATCTCATCATTCTTCACAAATATCAACCCAACATCCTCGGTACCCTTAATATACCATAGAATTCACTTCACAGCCTCCCAATGCCCCTTACCGGGATTGTGCATGTACCTAGATACCATGCTCATGGCCTGTGACAAATCTGGCCTAGTACACACCATAGCATACATCAAGCTACCCACTGTAATGGCATATGGAACTTTGGACATGTAGTCCCGATCCTCCACTGAAACTGGTGACATTAAAGCTGAAAGTTTAAAGTGGGGAGCTAATGGAATACTCACCACCTTGGTATTGCCCTCAAAACTGAACTTCTTCAGCATTTTTTGTAAGTAACTCCTCTGTGTAAGCTTCAATCTCCCCTTTACCCTATCTCGCTCAATCTCCATACCTAGTATCTTCTTAGCCTCTCCCAAGTCCTTCATCTCAAATTCAGATGACAACTCTTTTTTTAATTTTCCATAGGTTGTGTCATGTAGATCTCCTCGTCTAAGTCTCAATGTAGAAAGGCCGTCTTCATGTCCATTTGGACCAAATCTAAGTCCAGCTGTGCCACCAATGCCAATAGAATCCGAATAGATGAATGCTTTACAACGAGTGAAAATACCTCGTTGTAATCAATGCCTTTAAGCTGTGCATATCCCTTGGCAACCAATCTGGCTTTGAACCGAATATCTCCAATAGAAGATCCTTCCTTCTTAGAATACACCAACTTGCAACCAATAGCTTTCTTACTCTTAGGTAGCTTTGCAAGTTTCCAAGTGCCGTTCTTCTGAAGAGATTGCATCTCCTCCTCCATAGCATTCCTCCACCTAATAAAATTAGGGCTAGACTCTTCCTCCTTGAATGTGGTAGGAACCAAATCATCAACGACCTCTACAGATAAAGCATATGCCACCATGACAGCATCTTATCTAGCTGGTCGACGAATCTCTCTCCTCGGTCTATCTGCTGCAATGGACCCCTGAGCATGACCTTGCTCCTAAGCCTCACCATCCACTGTATCCTCCACATGCCCGTCTGTCATCTCATCTCCTCCCAGTGTCACACCTGTAGGAGCCTCAATGGACACAGTGCTGTCGGGAGTGGGTGGAGTCACATCAACCTCCCCCTGCTGCGATACCCCTCCTATCTGTTCTTCCTCCACTTGCTGAGAAACCCGAGGCTTCATCATGTACGCCTCATCAAATGTGACATCTTTGCTAATGACCATCTTCTTGTCTTGTGGTTCCCATAATTTGAAGCATTTGACACCTTCTCTAAATCCCACAAAAACAGCTTTTCTCGCTCTCGGATTTAACTTTCCATCACTGACATAAAAATAAGCTGGACACCCAAATGTCCGGAGAGTCTTATAGTCACTAGCCACAGAAGCAGACCAACGCTCCAAAGGAGTCTTCCCCTCTATCGTAGTGCACGATAATCTGTTAACGAGATGGCTCACATAAACCAGCGCCTCGGTCCAAAAAGATCTAGGTAATCCACTTTGCGTCATCATACATCATACATTCTCCAGCAAAGTACGGTTTAATCTCTCGGCCACCTCGTTCTGTTGCGGTATCTCTCTAACTGTGAAGTATCTTCTATTGCCATGATCCCAAAAAAATTTCAGAAATGGATCACTCTTATACTCTCCACCATTGTCTGAACGAAGAGTCTTTACCTTTCTACCTGTCTGCAGCTCCACTTTCTTCTTCCACTCCACAAATATATCCAGGACCTCATGTTTATGCTTCATGGTATATACCTAATTCCTCCTGGAATAATCATCAATGAAAGTGACAAAATAATTTGCCCCATCAAGCGATGTGTGCTTGGAATGACCCCAAACATCCGTGTGAATATAGTCTAATATACCTTGGGTTTTGTGAATAGCGGTGCCGAACTTTACTTTAGTCTTCTTCCCAAGTATGCAATGCTCACACAGCTCCATCTTGCAGGTCTTTGCACCCTTCAAAAGCCCCTGTTTTGCCAATGACTGTAGAGACTTATCTCCTGTGTGTCCAAGCCTCATGTGCCATAGTGTGGTAGTGTCCTCCTCTGTGGTGATAGAAGCAGCCAGAACCTGTGTGTCCAAGCCTCATGTGCCATAGTGTGGTAGTGTCCTCCTCTGTGGTGATAGAAGCAGCCAGATACCCTGTAACTGTCTTGCCCTTCAAGTAGTATAGGTTGTTTTTCCTGACACCTCGCATCACCACCATAGACCCCTTCATGACCTTCAAACTAGCATCTTCTAAGATCACTCTGTAGCCGGATGCCTCCAAAGTCCCAAGAGAAATGAGGTTTTTCGTCAACTACGGCACGAACCTCACTTCTTACAATTCCCTAGTCACCCCGTCATGCATTCTGATTCTAACTGAGCCAATCCCACTAATAGGACAAATATGATCGTTCCCCATGAGCACCATGTCTCCTCTCTTCAACTCCTCAAAGTTGGTAAACCAATCCCTCTTAAGGCAAATGTGAAATGTAGCTCCCGAATCAAGCATCCACTCCGTAGAGTCGGCATAACAAACTGACGGTAGTGCGGGACAAGAATAACCTGAAGAATCCGAATCTGAATTTCACCAACAACCATAACAACATTCACCTCTGAAGTTTGTACAACTTTTCCCCTTTGCTTCCCGGCTCTATCCTTTAACTTTGGGCACTCATTCTTCCAATGTCCATCTTCTTTGCAAAAGGCACATTGATTTATACCAACACTCTTATGGCTACCCCTAATCATTGATTTTGAACGGTTGAATCTCTGGCGGTTTGGACTACGGCCACGAACTGCTAATGCATCACCCGATGCCTTCTCGGAGGGCTCACCATCGTTCTTCCTCAGCTCATAATTTACTAATGCCGAGGTCACCTTCTTGTAGCTAACTATAGTTTGTCCATTTATCATAGTGAGAACAAATGTACCAAACTCATCATTCGACAACGAACACAATAATAACATTGCCTTGTCTTCATCCTCAATCATAATATCCACATTGGCTATATCCGAAATTAGTTTTGTGAAGTTGTTGACATGCTCCCGAATGGAAACTCCCCTCTTCATATTGAATTGGTTGAACCTTTTCTTCAAATGAAGCCTATTCTTAATGCTCTTCGTCAAATACTTTTCATTGAGTGTTTCCCACAATCTCTCTGCCGACGTCTCGTTCCTCACATCATAAATAAGATCTGACATTAAGCATGACCGAATCACCCCACAAGCTCTACTGTTCATTTTCTTCCAAACATTTTCTTCAACATCTTCGGGTTTCTCTTGTAGCTCAAGAGTCTCCTCCAAATTTTGAGCATCTAAGGCGTCCATTACTTGACACCTCCATAAGTCGAAATTTATCTTGTCGTCGAACTTTGGAACATCAATTTTAGTATTATTGATGCTCAAACTTTGGATAGTCTTTGTCAAAGTCGATCCCAATGTACTTGTAGCACTTGAACTAGCCTTGCTTGTTTCAATCATATTGTAGATCTACTCTCCCAACAAGAACCCAACAATGAATCCTTCGAATAAACTCCAACAAGAACCCAACAATGAATCCTTCGAATAAACTCCCAAATCCAACCCGGAGCTCTGATACCACTTGTTATGCGCCGCGGAAGCCCGAATCCTTCGAATAAACTCCCAAATCCAACCCGGAGCTCTGATACCACTTGTTATGCGCCGCGGAAGCCCAATACACAAAATCAATAGCACACACAATAACCAAAATAGATCACAATAGCCACAAGCAGCCCAATTACAGTAAGAACACAAGATATACGTGGTTCGACAATGTGCATACGTCCACGGGGCAAGGAGGGGGGAGTTTTACTATTAGAAATCAAAGGGAATACAAGTTAGGGCTACAAATCTTACCAAAACCCTCAAATAAGGCCTCTCAATCTCTCCAGATTGCTCCAACAATAGAAGCCTCAAATCTCCTCTTAGATCAGCTCAAAATCCTATCCCACAAACCCTAAAAAACGAGTTTGGGGTATTTATACAACTCACAAACGAAATGTGTCTGGAAACAGAACCCAGCCCAACCCGCTTCGGCGGTCGCGACGGTCGACCGTGGTGAAAGCAGAAACTTCTGCGGTCGACCGCGGCGGTCGACCGCCACTGATCCAGATGTATAGTGACCAATGTGCACGAACACGGTCGACCGCCATGGTTGACCGCCACCCTGTCTGCCTGAATCCTTAGCCTGAAATTCAAATTTACACTACATTCATACATGCATTTCAGTAAGATATCTAATTGCATTGTTCTTGTGAACTCTGTTGTTCTGATGAAGTATCTGAGTATACTTGCATAAGTAATGCCTGCATTCTGCCGCAATATCTAATGACAGATCATGACGAAAGACCCCTTATATGCCCAGCAGTGTATCATTCTCAAAATATTGCAACTCTAACAGGAGGTTGATTAATGATTCACGCATGAAACTTGCAGTATTTGTCACACTCATGAAAATAACTGGTTTATAAATTTTATAGGAAAACATTTTTTGAAACTGTCTGAAATTTTACGTGAACACTAACATATTGCAGGTGGGAAGAAGTTGGAGGGGATAAATTGGTGACGTTTCCAAGAGTCGAAGCGCCTAATGGACTGCACATTCGGGTGTTGGAGCGATGATTTCATCTCATCATACAAAGATATAGACAGGCTTACTAACAATTAATAAATGGCAAAAAAATGTACCTTCCTTCTGTAGTGGAATAAATAATATATAGAACTTGCCAGTTCTGATCACCAACATTGTAGCCTTGTTAATTTAAGATTTTTTTTACTTAGCTATTTATACTAGTATACTACTATTACTACTGCCGGTTTCAAAGAGGGAGTATTTTTAGCACTTAAATGCCATGATGCTTCCCCTGTTTTTCACTTATACATCATGAGTTGTTTTTTTTTTTTTGTCTTTGCTAAATTTTGGACTTTTCAAGAATATGATGATTTGGAGACTAATCTCAAACTACTTGGAAATTTGGAGATATGAAGATTTGGGGGTCTAATCTCAAAATATGAAAGATATAAGGACTAGTATCGCAAATAAAAAAAACTTGATATAAAAAAAATCCAATGAACAACAAATCCATCATAAAACCCCAATTGAACCACAAACCCAATAAAAGCCCTAATTGCATAGACTAAATTGAACAACAAAAATACGGATTTCTAACCAGGGAATGGGTGTTGAAGATGAAAGTAGAAGCCAAATACCCGTGAGAAGCAACCCTGTAGAAGTTGGGGGATTTAAATCATTAATAGAATAGTCACAATTTCCAAACTAACTCCCTAACCATCCATGAATAATATAGATCATCACATTCTATGGAGTGTTTTGATAGAATCTCTTCTCCAGTATTGACAGGGGCGGAGCCATTGCCCCCGGGGCAATTTGAACAATACAAATAATGAGGATGATCGCTAAAAGTTTTATTTATAGAGGCTAAATAGAATAAGATACCTAGCTTCTTTCTCATCCATTACCTACTACCTCAATTCCTCAACTAAACCCAAGTCAACCTCCAAACCACCAATTTCCTCAGTACACTAATCCCATCTTCTTCTCTATCCTACTCTATATATCCTTTTCATTCCCCGACGAAGGAGAGTGGACAGTGCATCCAAACAACTCTCGAAGATGTTAGTCGGGTTGACCAAATCAACCAAATACTCATGCGTAAAATAAGAGTATAATGGCTGATAATGAACAATTAGTGGAGAATAAATGAGCCCGTTATGAAATTAATGTTGGATTGTTACCAGCCAATATTTGGAATTAATAGGTGAATTAATCTAAATTAATTTGAGGTAGATTTTGGCTAGTCATTGTGAGAAAGAAGCCTCAATAGATTGAGTGTTTCTTTGTGAAGAGGATATACAAAGCTACCGAAAAAAAAACCATCTCATCGGAGCCCCGAAAGAATATCCGGCCAATCTCTTATTTCTCCTCTAAAATATCACATTAGTTTCAAAGCTTTCTCGATGATCTCTTTTTTTTAGGGGTTGTTGGTTCGTTTGCCATTTTATTCCATTTGAAAAACTCATTTTTGAATTTTCTAATGTTTTCCATGAAATTGGTTGTTGGTGTTTGGTTCATACATAAAACATGATAGGAAACTAATTTACACACTTTTTCTATGTTTGGTTAGTATCTAAAAAATAGGAAAACTTTTGGTTAATTAGATTTTCCCATTTTTCTTGTGTTTAGTTGGTATTGAAGTTTGTAGAGAAAAATATATATAGTCACTATGGTAAGTTTACCTCTAACTAAAGACAAATTTATTTGTGACCATTGTTGGTGCTAATTTTACTGAAAGAAAAGATACAAAATAACATATGAAATCTGTAAATAACCTGATGCATCATAAATACTTGTTTGACATGTAAAATTATATGAAACTTGTAAATATCATGATTGCTCATAACTACATGAACTACACACCTGAATTAGCAGAAAATTCATATGAAACCTGTAAAAAACCTGATTCATCATCACAACTCGTGCGACATGAAAAATCTTGAATCCAAACGTGTAAATAACACAATTTGGCATAACTGGTATGAACTATGCATCTAAATTAGTAGAAATTTTATGTGAAACCTGTAGATAACCTGATTCATCATAATAACTCATATGACGTGAAAATCAAAAGGCTCAAAATACATTTCTATGTAAGTCATTATTATCACGTAAAGCCATCCTATACATCTTATTGAAAGATGTAGGATTCTATTCATGTTTTAGATTTGACCCAAAATGTTCAATGTCATGATAAATTGCTCTTCTACTGTTATATTCCTCAAATCTTTTAGTAGCCCTTTCTTTCTCATGATACTTGCTAGTTTCACAAAAGCACAACTCTACATTCTAATGTAGTTTACACAACTATCACTAAACTATTATATATATGCTATATGTGTTCAATTCTACTTTTCTTTTATTTTCTTTTTTCTTCACTTGGAACACTACAAATTGATTTACATGTAGCTTGCATTCTCATCATGAATGTCATCACTAACTTGAAAACTTGAAAACTGATAGTTTACACAACTAGCACATATTAACAAGAGTTTATTGATCAATAAACTCACCATCACTTGTAGACACTAAAAAGTGCCAAGAAACGAAGGAGAGTCGAGCCTCACTATAAGTACAACGAGGGTCGTCACAATGACGAACCTCAGCCTCAATTCATGAAGTTTGTCTCAGTTCAATAGGACAAACAACATATTGCCCATCAAAAGATGAAGTTCACCTAGAAACGAAGTTCGTCATTGAAGATGAAGTTCGCCAAAGATGAAGCCGCAGTTAAGCTCACCAAAGATATAGCGAAGTGGACAAACCTCGTCAGATGGACAAACCTCGTCTGGCAAACGAACCTCGCCAGGCGGACAAACCTCGTCTGGTAGACGAACCTCGTCAGACGGACAAACCTCGTCTGGCAAACGAACCTCGTCAGACACCGTTTCAAAGGGCTATATTAAATGAGGGTTAATGACCAATAACTCACCCCTTTAAGGAGAGTTAATAACTACTAACTCACCTATTTAAGGAGAGTTAGTGACCTCATTTAACTGGGAGTTAATGACCTCATTTAACTGGGAGTTAATGACCACTAACTCCCTCATTATAAGGGGAGTTAAAGCCCATTAACTCACTCCATAATGGCCCTAAGCCTATAAATAGGCATGATCAACATGAAAGAAGAGGAGGGGATGGAAAGGCTAATGAAAAAAGTCTATCTCTCCTCTAATCTCATGGATCTTTATAGATCATTGGCTAATCATTTGGCCTTAGAACGTTGAAGCTCATAACGAGCATGACGAGGGTCATTACAATGATGAACCTCGTCTCAAACAACAAAGCTTATCGTTGGAAACCAGATGTGAAGCTCGTCATTGGAAACGAGGTTCGAATCTCATCATTGGAAATGAGACTTGACATCAAAGATGAAGCTCATCATTGGAAACGAGGTTCGAAGCTCGTCATTGGATACGAGGTTCAAAGTTCATCATCGAAGGTGAAGTTCGTCAATGAAAACAAAGCTTGTCATCGGATTTAAAGCTCGTTAGTGAAGACGAAGCTCACGAGACTCGCCACGCAATGAGGCTCGACATCGACGATTCCACGATTGTAGCACGTCAGTTACGTGCTCAAACCCTATAAATAGCCACGGATGGCTACAGAGAAAAGGGTTGGTTAATTGAGACTTTTAATCATCAGAAATCAGAGCTTTTGCATGTAAGTTCGAAGATCGAACCTCGATTCCAGCCGGCTAACGAAGGTCAGAAGCTCTTGTGATCTTGTTCTGATCGTCAACGGGAGGCAAATTTGACTCAAGCATTGGGGGAAGCATCCTTTCGCTACCAAGAACCCACGTTAAACAAAGAGAGGCTGAATTAATCTTCTTTTCAGCTGTAATCGAGAGAGAGTGTGAGTGATTATAAGAGTTTCGTACCAAGTGATCGAACCCATTTCTTAAAACAAGAAAATCAATCTCAATATTAATTTTTCGACCCTATAGACGCTGACGACCACAGTGGGAGCAGCTATCCTCTCCGACGAGATGGTGGTGGCGCAATCAGACAAGATTGTAGTGAGAACGGACGTCGAAACTCTAATCATCGAATTTGACCAGTCCAAATACGAGGAGTACCTCTCCTCTGGTAAGTCTAGTCCCACGAAGGCACGAAAGTGTCGTCGAGTCTCGTATAAGACTTCAGCCCATGTGGCTTCTGATGATTCAACTCGAGTTAGTCTCGAGGAAAAGTCCATGCCCCTCAAAGAGGAGGCTCCAGAAACTAGCCGTTAGGCTAAGAAATGGGTTGTTAAACAACCTTGCCAAACTTCGGCTTCTACCAACCAAATTATGGCTTTGAATGACGAACCTCGCTAAGTTTTGGTTGAAGCAAAGGTTTCCGTTATTCCATTGTCGAGACGCGCTCGACAACGTCAGTGTCAGAACCAAGCTCGCCATAGGGCTAGAGCTTTGGTCTTGCTAGACGGTTTTTATTATCGACTGAAGGTTAATCAACCTAAGGTCAATAAGTCTGACGAGGGTCAGGTGAATGAGGAGCGTCCGAAGGACAGACCTCATCCTCGTATCCTCGTAGACTCAGAACACAAACCTCATCCTCAAAAAGAGGCTCAACAAGTGGTTCATACCGAGGTTCATCAAGAAAACGAACCTCAAGTTAAGAACCGACCGAGAAGACGAACTCACCAAACTCGTCCTATCAATGAACCTCGTCGTGCAAATGACGGAGTTTGTCAACTTACCCAAGGTTATCAACCTCTATCATTTAGAGAGTCTCGCTCGGGTAAAGCCAAGATGACGGAGTCGACTGGGGGTTGTCCAGATGGTGACCTTCGCGATTATCTCACGTGCAAGCGCAGCATGAGCCAAATGCAATCATATTGCTGCTGTGAGAAGCTCATATCTGCGGTGCTTTCCCAATGTCCATGTGGGGAGTCGATGCATAAATCTCCAATCTTTGAACGATTGACTGAATTTCCAATGGTTCCTTCATCTAGAAGAAGACGCTTTCGTCCCAAGAGGCAAGCATCTAAAGATCGCCACATTGAAGTGACGATCAACATGGTCAGCAAAGGCAAGGGAAAATCCCAAGCTAAAACTTTTGAGTCTTCTGATTTTGAAAGATCCCCCGGATTACGAGAGGCACTTATTGAAGGCCAAGGCGTTTATCAACATACCCGTTCTCGTACTGGAGCGATGATCCTGTAGGTGTTCGCGGGAAAAATTACGTTCTTCATTGACGTCATTGTTCTCTCAAGTAATTGCTTTTTGA